AATTTAGGAATTAATACAACTCCTAGTAATATTAACAGAATTAACAAAGATAAATCAAATTTTACCTAATTTCATTTGGATTGAATTTAAACAGACAAAATAAACATTTTGACAAAGAATTTAATAAAATAAAAAATACTAATATTTATAAATTAGAAAAATTAAAAAATGATAATAAAATAAAGATTATAATAAATCCAAAATGGTTTAAAAATACTACTTCTGTTAATATTCCTAAAGAAATGATAAATATTCTTTCTCTTGGTCCAAAATTTAGTTTACCACCTAATAAAAATGACATTTCTATAAAACATCTTTTAGCTGATGTTGAATCTTCTCTTAGTGAAATACACAACAGCGAAAGAAAAAATATTCTTCTTTGTAAAACGACTAACATAATTACAAATTTTTTAAATCATTTTCCTACACACAATTCAGAAATTAGTTACTGATATAAAGTAACTAAACAATTTTTAAAAGAACATCAAGAAATAATTATTACAAATTCTGATAAAGGAAACGTTACAGTTGTTATGTATAAAAATCAATATAATGAACTAGCTAATAATATGTTACAAAATGAAACATTATATTAAATTGAAAGGGGGTCCTACATCAACTATTCAACAAAAAGCTAATAAAATAATCAGCCAACTAAAAAAATAGCAAAAAAGTAGAAGAAAACTAAACTAAACTAAAAATCTAACTATCTACAATTCAGTATGTCCAAGATGTTATGGTTTACCAAAAATTCATAAACCAATTTTAACTCTTAGACCAATTATTTCTTCTATTGATGCACCTACCAGTAAACTTTCACAATTTATAACGGAAATTTTAACAAATTCTTATAATTCCAATAATCCTTATTTTATAAAAGATTCCTTCACTTTTTCAGAGAATTTTAATGATTTTCAACTTCCAAATAAATATGTCATTATCAGTCTAGATAAAGTATTACTTTTTACAAATATTCCATTAGATATTATCTATAATTGAAAAACAATGGAATACAATTAGTAATCATTGTAATATAAGAAAAGAAAATTTCATAATGATTTTAAGGTTTATTTTCAATAACACATTTTATTCATTAAATAATACAACATATAAACAAATTTTTGGAACTTCTATGGGCTCTAATATTTCTCCAATTCTTGCCCAATATGTTATGGACGATATTCTTAAAACTTGCATTCCAAAATTATCTTTTGAACTACCAATTTTAAATAAATATGTAGATGACATCGTATGTTCTATTCCAGAAGGTTCAGAAAACGAAATTTTAGAAATATTTAACAATTATAATCAATATATAAAACTTACATTAGAGACTGAAAACATTAATAGTATACCCTTTTTAGATACCAAACGTATTAGAATTCCAGAAAATAAAATTAAACTTGATTGGTATACAAAACCTACGAATTCTGGTAGATCTATGAATTACTATTCTTATCACTCCGAAAAAACAAAAATAAATTTAGTACTTGGTATGAAAAACAGAATAGAAAAAATATGTCATCCAACATCAAAAGAAGAAAGTATAATAAAATTAAAAACATTATGTCTCAAAAATTCTTACCCAAAAAAATTAATTAATAAACTCCTTTTTTCAACTAGAAGATCAAATAACATAATTAATAATAATGATAATCAAAATAATATATTAAATAATGAACACATATTAAATTCTAATATTAAAAAATATAAATCATTTCCATATATAAAAGAATTAACACCAAAAATTAAAAATGTTTTAAAACAAGAAAGTAATATTACAATTGCAAATAAAACAATAAAAACAGTAAGAAATCTATTCTCAAAAGTTAAAGATAAAGTAAAAATCGAAAATAGATCTAACGTACTTTATAAAATAAATTTTTTAAATTTTAATAAGTTATACGTAGGTCAAACTTCTAGAAATATTAAGTCTCGAATCTCTTCACATAAAAGTGATATTAGATTAAGACCAGATGCTTGTGCACTTTCACAACAAGTTAATTCTACAGGACGTAAAATGGATTTTGAAAATTTTAAAATTTTAATTTTAGCAACAGATAAGGATTATTCAAAAAGATGTTCTTTAGAAATGTTTTATATAAACCAGGAAGAAAATACTCTAAATAAAAAAACAGATACAAAAGACATTAACATTATATTTTTCAACATAGATAAAAAAAACTAAGTCATAGTACGAGTAATACTAACACTAATATTAATTCTATATAAATATAAAATAATTTTTGTTTTTGTTTTCCAAAATTTTTGAAATGTCATTTCAACAAAAGACTTTTAAGAAGAGGAGGTGGATAACCACATTTAATAAATAAATTGTACAAATGTTGTAAATTAATGTTTTTAAATGAATGATGACTTGTAGATATTACTCTAGTTCTCATACCCAGAATGAAATTGATTTTTTGTTGTGTGTGGAAAGACTCATAATGTAAAAATCTGCCTGATGATCCAGGCTTCCTATACCATGATCTTATGAGAGAGTTATCCTCTCTCCTGATGAGTCTTGTGTCCAAAAAAGGTACACTCTTATTGGTGTCCTCTTGTTCGATGGTAAATTGTAAAAAAGGGTTATAGCTATTGAAAACTTGAAGTAACTGTTCTACCCTATCTGAGGGAGCACATTCCACAATGTCATCAACGTATTTTTTTAAAAAGGTATTTCAAAATTGATTTTTGTCAAACATTCGTTCACGAGATCATCCATCACATACTGTGCAAGGATCGGTGATATCGGACTACCCATTGGCATCCCCAAAGTTTGTTTGTTTTGTTTGTTTGGCTGCACCCCCTTTTAAGAAAGAAATTTGGTTTTGAACTTAGACAGCCGTCTAATTTTTTGGCTTTATGTATACCGGGTGATTCAGTTTGAAAGATATTTTTTTTCTGGGTTCAGCTATGTAAAGAAGTCCATAGTTTCATTAGAAATATTGCTAGAAAAAAACAGTAAAAAAGATAAACCAGTAGTTTTATTCTGAAAAACGATAGCCAGCTGCGGAAACAACTGAAATTTGACGTTTCTAAATAACGATTTGGCAAAATAATTGACATTTTGTACCTAACCTGCCTATTCCATCTATAACTAATTATAACATGAATACTTACAGTAACCAAGAAATACTAGATATTAAGGGTTTTTTGGCGAGAAAACCGCTAGCCCGGTTAACTATAGTTTGTTCCGGTTTGACGTTTTGGCGAGAAATGTAGTTAACCCGGTTTGGCAGAGTTTGCCTAACCATCAAACCGGACTTGTGGGTTGGTTTGGATCATAGGTCCCACAAAGCGCCTACACCGGCCGCATTTGCGGTCGGGGTAGACGACGGATGGGGCCCACCTACGAAGGCTGTCCAGGCCTACACGAGATGAGGCAGGATAAAGAGGGATAATCCCCCTCGATCCCAAATCATTGAGGCCAATTTCTAGCCATAGAATAATGGCGCG